ATATAATATACATATCAAAGAAAAATTTTTAACAATTCCATACATAAAATCTATCTCTGAAAGTTTTTTGCCTATAGCCTATAAATGTAATTGCAAATTAGCATCCCGAATACATTAAAAAGCCTTATAACTAAAGAAAAGGACTAAACTAGATCCTTTAGCTAATCACAATGTTGTCTACAAATTTCTTGTAAAGACTGTGAAGTTAGTTATGTAGGACAAACCAAAAGAAAATTAAAAACAAGATTAAATGAATACATTTCAGACATTAAGAAAAAAACTGATTCTCCATCGATGATTACTGATCACCGTATCAATTATAACCATAATTTCAATTGGAAAGATGTAAAGATCTTAGATAAAGAACCGTCTTACAATAAAAGATTAATTTCTGAAATGGTTCACATAAAGAAACAAAAATTAGGATTGAAATAAAATAATATGGAATCATTTCCTAATTCTTATCTACAAATCTTGCAACCTCCTTTCTCCTTTTTAATCTTTTTTCTTCCTTTTTTACTTCCGTCATTCCTATCCATATCTTTATTCCCCTTCCAATCTCCTCTCCACTTTCACAGTTATTACAGAACATCCGAATGTCGCTCACACGTTATCACACAAGAGATTTCTGACTGAATAAGTTTCAATATTTTGACTCTGATCGCATTTGCTTCTTAAAGATTAATTTGACTCACTGTTTTAATTATTGGATTAATATTCTTGTTAGGCCTTCTCATTTGATGTATACACAATTTTTAATTATTATGTATACTAAAATACATTTATTAATACTTAACATTATACATTAGTATGCGAACAATTTGTGAATATAACATGTATTCGTTATTAATTTTATAATCCATAATCTATTATATGAATTGTATAATAGAATGTATATTTATAAACTGACTAGTTTATTGACTGACTCAATATTTTCAACTGTTTTTATTATTAACATGGATAAATTGCGACTGATACAATAGATGAATGGTAAGAAAGAAAATTACAAGAGAGAGAGAGAGAGAGAGAGAGAGAGAGAGAGAGAGAGAGAGAGAAAGAGAACATTATATTGTTACGGCATAAAACACATGAAGAAACGCGACTATCATGTTAGCGTAACTATAATTTTGGAATTTGTATTCAACCGTTATATGAATCTATTAATTTTTGCGTTTAATTTTCTATATTGTATACACTGAAGATGACCTAACATATATATTTTAAAGTTTTATAAGTCTGTTCTGTATAAAATAATAATAAATATTAATAATAAATGTATACTTTTAACTGGTTGCAGATAATACTACAGGATAGTGGAATTTTTGAAATGTTGGGTTTGGCGCAGGAACTTGGTATAGAAGAACTTTGGAGAAGTTGTGAGGAACACGTGTCTGTTACTTTAAGCCCCGGAAACGCGTGTGCACTTTTAACTGCTGCTTTGGAGGCTCAAGAACGAGTTCCAGGTATTTATCTAAAGATTTGTATATTTATATTCTGCATATGATAAAGTAATACCTATGCTTCGTATCACACGTAATTTCCATTTTCTAATTGCATTATCATAGTGCATGTATATGCAAAAAATATGTAGTATACATAATTTTACTCACTCAATAAATAAAAAAAACCCTCTTGCCGAAAAATACCCTCTGTCATGTTTCACTATTATATATTCTTGATAGCATAATACAAATCTGCAGTATCCAATTTAATTATACAAAATATAAATTAAAAATGCACATCATTCATTGAAACGAAATCATAAAATATAATTTAATAAAAAGAAATTTTTCTGTGTACTGCGTATGCGTTATTATATCCAGTAAGAACTGACAATGGAATTGACATTGAATCGATATCGATTTGACATCGAAATCATCGAATTGGCGTCGATTCGACATCAATTTTATTGTTATTTCTCACTATATTCATTGAATCAAAGATAAAATTATCAATGTGAAAATTCAAAAATATTATCTATAATTCAAAATGTAAATTTTGTAAAAGTATGCATATTTCGTATAAAATCAAAATATATATATCATAAAATCAAGATAATTAAAGTATAAGACGAAATCATTATATTAACTAGCAATCTTGGAAAATAATTATTTCTATCGCAATTATTTATATCGCGTATTTCAATCCAAAAACTACTTTGAAGCAAAAGAATTTATTATACATATAAAATTTATTAAATATTTAAAAAACAAAATTTTAATAGAGCTTTAAAAATAATTATGTAAAAAACGATATTTTTATAATTAACTTATAAACAATTAACTTTTTTAATCTACAAAACAACGAATAATGTAGAAAACAGTCGCGATTACTGCCAATTAAGCCTGCGACATAATTGAAAATCAACAGGATGTAAATGTATAATAGAATGAGGATTGAAAAGCAACAGAAACAGAGAATAATAGATTTTAACCTAACAGAAATTGTATATCAGAATACACGGCTTCTCTGTTTCTGAAATCTATTATTCCCTGTTCCTATAGCCTGTGCTTTCCAATTGTGCATTAAGCTTTACTGTTTCGCGTATTTTAATTAATTCATGCACATATAATATCTCATAGAGAATATGATATTATTACTGCATTTAATACAACCACAATATTATAAATTACGCTTCTAATCTGTAGAACAATTAATAGTAAACAAGGCAGAGAAGGATTGCCTCCACAGTTCATCACAACATAATATAGACTAAATGTTCTAATTAAATTATGTGTGTAATGTGTGGAAAATGATGTTACGTAGAAAATCTATTGTTCATTTAGTTAAATAATGCTTTATAATTAATTTTTTATATAATAGTTAACATCTAATATATAAACTATAAAAAAGTGTATCAATTTTTTATACTATTTTGTCAGCGTTTTTGTGCCATTTTCTCGATCGAAAGAGAGAAAGATCTCGATCAATCAATTTAACTTTATTCGACTTTTTTCGAAGGAAGAATTATCTTCATGTATCAATCGCATCAGAATCTATACTCACTGGAACGGTTTCAAATCGCGATACAATGCTGAATATATAACTGGCGAAATGGTGTTGATTGCCGAGATCCACAATAACTGACATGCTCCAGCGATTGTCCGTCGTTTAATCAGTACTTCCAATGAAAATTTGTGTTTATTATTCACTCTTAACGTAACAAATTCGCGATTAATTGCGGAACGTTCACACTCCATCTCCAAAACTGCTCCGAACAAAACACGTCAACGAAACTGTCATGGCAGCCGAGCGGGCGCGCGTAGAGTTGGACATTCAATTCTGAAATACATAAAATTCAGATTAATTATAAAATAAACTAGGAGATACTTTTTTTTCTCTCATAAATTACAATGATCAATGATGTTTTATCTAAACTTTCTTTATAAAGATTTAAATAAATAGATACATAAGAATTGTGCAAAGCATCAATTAAATCATTTGCAAATCTTTCAAACTATGACTACGGACACTCTTGACTGGCCAAAAAACTGGCCAATCATAGCTGTTCCTCTGAAGAATGGAATGACTGTGATTGGTTTCTAACTACGGATGTTATTAAACCCGATTGAGAGTGTCCGTGTAAACGTAGTCTGTCTATGGTACAAAATTAGGAGTTTTATTTTTTGTATCGAAAGCAGGAGAAATATGATAGATAGATAAATTAGTTTATTAGCTTCATAGAGCTTATACTACTAGAAGGGGAATATGAACGTCGAACTGTGAGCAAGACTGAAGACTTAAACACAATAGACACTGACAATAGGCACAGGCAACAGGGAATAACGAGCCGTTCAATCAGAGTTCTGGTGTGTGAGTTTGATATTATATCCCAGAGTTCTGATTGGATGACTCGTTATTCTCTGTTGCATATGCCTATTGCCTGTGCCTATTGTGTTTAAGCCTTAAGCCTTGAGAGACAGAAGATGTATTGTATTGTACAATACATATTTCTGTCCTCTTCTGTCCTCTTTTGGTATGCGCAGAAAGAAGAAAAGTTACTGAGCAGGATAAAAATATATTGTACATCTTATGCCTTTCAGTCTTGCTCACATTTTCCACTCATTGCTTGAATAGGCCATTCCCCCTCAAGTAATATAAACTCTATGATTGGCTTATTATACAGTATATAGCCATTTTACATTTTTATGAAAGATAAATAATTCAGTTTATTGGCAGTTTATACAATAGGAACAAACACAGCCATTTTACATACAATTTACAATTGCAAAATTATCCAATCACTTCTTTTATAAAGTCGCACGTAAAATGTGATTGGATAATTTTCTTTATATGCATACGTTTATGTGCAAGTTATGTGGATATATCCTTAGTCCGGATCTACAATAGGTGTTCTAAGCCTTAAGCCGTAAGAAATTAACCAACTACAGTTGAATGCAAGGAGAATAATTGATTGTGATTCGTTATGGCTTATTCCTTATGGCTTAAGGCTTAAAAATCTATTGTAGATTTGGGGTTACACATGAATCATTTTGATATTACGTGGCGCTATCTGACGAGAACACAAGTCACTGATGCTTAAATAATGCCATTTTAGACACGCCGACATAACGGTAGATAATAGAAGATTTGTGATATCACAAATATCAACAAGATCTGCAATTGATAAATTTTACTTAAATTAATTTATTTTCGAAGTTGTTAGAATTTTAATTAATATTTCGTAAATAAATAGTATATAATTACAGATGCATTACCGTTACATGATGATTTGCAATTCTCGATGTATCAAAATTCAAAATAATTATTTAGCATCGAAATAATATATTTTTGTAGATGTCAGAAACACAGTGAAAGTAATTATTTCATTAATCATAATTATTTGTTAGAAAAATGAAATTTTCTGATATCGTAGTGAGATTTTTGTGAAACCGAAAGTGACTAGGGTCGTGCAGCACTGTTACGTTGGTGCCATTCTTACGTTGGCATTATCATTGTTACGTTGGTATTATTGGCAAATTTGACGAAGCCAACGAATGACGCCATAATCGCCACATTCTTTATACTCAGCCTAGCGACTATCGGTATCTCACGCTTGCAGAATATATTGCTTGCTATTTGTCACTCAGTTTTTAAATACTGACGTAAAAATGTCGTACAAAGGGCCACAAAAAGTTCAGAAGGTGATGGTGCAACCCATTAATTTGATATTTCGCTATTTACAAAATCGCTCACGCGTGCAAGTCTGGTTGTTTGAGAACGTTAACCTGCGAATCGAGGGACACATTGTCGGCTTCGACGAGTACATGAACCTGGTATTGGACGATGCCGAGGAATATCATCAGAAGACGAAAAACAGGAAGCCGCTGGGTCGCATTATGTTGAAAGGCGATAACATCACTTTGATACAAAACACCAATCCCACTGCGAATTAAGGAGAAACATAACCTCAACCTGGCGTCATTTTTTGGCGGGCGCCGGGTAAGACCGACTCCGAATTCGGAACTCTTCTTGGACTACGAGAGAAACTCTTAGGGAGATTATTAATATTGCAATAACTCTTTAGGCGTGCGAAAAGAAATGTATCGCGTGATAGATGAATGTATCAATGGAGAATTTGTATTTGTTACTTGGATATTAGCTACAAGTTTTGAAAAACGTGTGTCTTAAGTCTTAACAAATGCGAGACTAAATCTTATTGTGAGAAAAGTATCATTCGGTGTTTTACATGAATGCACATTCTAATTTATCTTATGCATACAGATATCTAATTTTAATTATATGTAATATTATGTGTTGTTTAAGATATGTCAATCTGTTCATCGTAAAATAGAATTTTTGTGACTCATTCTGAATGTGATTATATGAAAAGATAAACTAAAAGATGACTAAAATGTATATTAATAATTATTAAAATAGTTTCGTATTCTAAGATATTTTCTTTATTTTTACCTACATATAACATTTATAAATATTGATCTCAAAAAATGATTTATATAGAAAGATACAGAGAGATAATGTAATGACATATATCTATAAAAGTAATATTTAAACATATGCTTATCAAATAATGTAATTTAATAAAAACTATCATTTAAGAACTATCATAAAATGTGTTTTACGAGACAGTATATAAAAAATGAGAATAATACTTATATCATTTATTTATTCTTATTAGGAATACATTTTTAAACTATATTATGTGTAACGATATTATTAAATTCTTGAAAAAGTTTTTAATGAAAAATTCCTGGGTTCGTTAATCATTGAAATTTATTTACATCGATTCCGAAAATTATTTTTCATTTAATTTATCCCAAAAATTATAAATTCATTTTGATATTTATACTACTATAATTATGAATACTGTAACTATAAATAAAGGTAATAAAATTAAATAATTAAGTTCAATACTTTTTTAGTAATTTTATTTCATATTTTTGATACTATTTTAGTGATTTCATTTTTAAGAGACGAATCAATCAACTTTTATTTAATTTTAAGTAATATATTTAGGGATGGGAGAAGCTTTAAATTATAAAATTATTCTTTATTACTTTTTTTTTCTATTCTTATTCTTATGTTTCAGGCGGGAAAGCTGCTTGCTCATCTTTTATCGAGAAATGTTTCACTTTTATCGGTGAAAATGCCATGGATACAGTGAAGACAACGGCGTTTTGCAATCTTCCAAAGGACGCTTTAGTAAAATTAATATCGTCGGATTATCTTGGTTTAGAAGAAGAAGATGTATGGCGAGCAGTTCTAAATTGGGCCAAATATCAGGTTCGCTTTTTTAAAAGTTCTACTTTATCCTTTTTGAAGTGCTCTGAATTTATTTATTAGAAGTTAGGCAAACTTTCTCGAATTATTAATCTTATTAAACACTTTTAGGCAGGAGTTACGCAGCCCACACAGCACTGGACTGAAGAAGAGCGCATAAGAGTGTGCCAGCACCTATCTGGTGTAATAAATCACGTACGGTTGCTGTTAATTGATAGCCAGGTGTTCGCAGAGGAGGTAGAGCCGACCGGTGCGGTGCCGATAGAGATGTCGTTGGAGAGGTACGAATTTTTCAATCCCGATCGATCGAGCGGCTCGAAATTTCTAAGGTACGATCTAACGGGGCGGCACTCACCGTTTGGCGGTATCGCCTTCGATCTCGACGTTTCGCTTTAGGTATAGGTATGCAGCTCTGCCGAACAAGTACTCGGAAGTTTGCTCTGACAAACGATTGCAGCCACGAGTGAGCCCATTTCTCTTCCCGGGCTCGCAGATTCTCTCCAGAGACAAGGTCGGTTTCCAGCGGGTTTTGAATCAGTGGTACGGCGTGACGAAACAGGGCTGGCGGTTAGTTTATCGGTAAGTTTTAAGAATATGTTGAGTAGAAAATGTTTTAAAAGTGACAACATCAGATAACATGATCGGTAATAATATTATAAATTTATTTCTATCTCTTGAACGTTTCAGTCAACGCGTTGATAATTTTTTTTTCAGTGCTCTATATAGCTTGCATTAATTTTGAACATTACATAATTGTAGAAATTATAGAGAAAATGATGCTTGTGACGAAGTATGTGGAACTTGTAAAATAAAATATATTCTATTATATGCAGACAGTATAATAATACAGAACATCTTTTAATTAAATATTGGAGGAGGAAATTTGTCTCTCACTCTGCTCTTTAATAAACTACATACGATATTAAAATCAGATGATTGCATGGGTCAGGAAAGATGTTGAAATTTTGGAGAACAGAAGACAATTTTGGAAAATAGATTGAGAAGAAATTTTGCTTTTTCAATTTATATAAGCAATTGATAGATGTTCTACAAAAAAATAGTACAGCATTTCTCATTAATAACATGCATTGCTTTCAGAGCATCTACTCATGGTTATTCAGCAGCGTCTTTTCATCGACACTGTGATAACGTTTGCCCGACGTATGTGATAGTGCTGGTAAGTACAAAATTTTCATCCAAATTTTTTTGTAGTAGTTACAAAGTGCGTTTTATTATGTCTCAGGGAGTACGTGGTGAGATATGCGGAGGATACAGTGATGTTCCATGGGGTAAAACTAACTCGAAAGCGCAGTACATCACTTCGGAAAAGAGTTTCCTTTTCACGTTGACAAATAATCAAGATGTACCGCCGACGAAGTTCGACATCGTGAAGAAATCATTTGCTATCTGTTATCATCCGGAGTAAGAACTATTGTGATTTTTCAGAAGATTATCGCTATCGAATTCTTAAAGTTAATTTGATTTAATGTAATCTATTTTACAGCATAGGGCCGATCTTTGGTGCCGGGGCTGATTTGCTTATAGCAAGCAACTGCAATGTCAACAAGGAAAGCTACAGCAATCTCCCGCATAGTTATGACGGAGACCACGCATCTAATCAATTACTTATGGGAGATTATCATTTCTCGGTAATCGATTACGAGGTTTTCACTCCAAGTCATCCTGCTCCGAAATCCAATCATTAAATGAGTTGCTGTGATAAACTCATTTGCATATACATCGTTTTTGTAATAAATATTTGCATTATGTGATTTATTCTCCGTTTGTGGAAATTATTTCATATTTTTCGTCGAAAAATAATCGTATCGATAATTCATCACACAAATCGTACTTTTATGTAATCATACATATACAAGCAGCGGCATAAGCAAAGACTGATTACTTTTTATCTTTGTATCTTTATAATTATGTTTTACTTATATCAGATATATAGCCTACCTTCTCAGTTCTTCCGTGATACTCATTCAACTTCGGCACTTGATTATCGAGAAATCGTAGATATAACAGTTCTATGATTATACGAGAAATATTCGATAGAAGAAAGTACAAATGTATTATTTTTGTGGAACTATACGTAAGAGAGGACTTGTATTCGTCAAATAAAACATTGCAAAAAACATGTCGTACACGTGAATATAAGCAATGAGAAGAGAGGATTTGTATTTGTGAAATCGTTTGAATATTCCTGGCACGCGTACTATTTAAATATTCATATTGTACGACTAAATATGACCATCTGTCGTCTGACATTATTACACGTTAAACAATTATATTTGTAAATTTAGTTTAGATAATCTTATATTCTCGTGGATTTTTGCTGTGAATTATCGTGTATAGATATCAAAATGAGAGATTCAATCTTTTATATTGATTTTAGGAACAAAATTGTAATACGATATTTCAATAAAGTAATGCTACATACCTTTTATTAGACAGTATTAGAAAATTTTTATCATTTTTTTTATTTAATATCACTAATATGTGTTTGAAAAATACTTCTGTGTATGTTATAATAATCAAATCATTTTCTATCTTTTATTACGCTTGACAATTGTTTATCTAGGAGAAAAAAAAATCACTACTTTAAGTATTCATAAATTTCACAAAAAAAATGTTTATTGCTTAAATTAAAGGAATGGATACGTGTTTTATATAAACGGATTATATTATATCTTACAAAAAGTGATAAAAAAATAATATTTTTATTATATAATACGTACATCAGTATAATACAAATAAGTACATACTGGCCCCGGTCCCGTTCCCACAAAATATGTTGATCATTTATTTACAGATTGTCCTCGCTATCTAACGATGTATACGAGATGTTTTACATATTACAGATACATTTGACTAAAATATTGAAATAAATACAATAAGCATGTTCGGAATAAAACGATTTCTTATAACTGCTGGTACATTACTGGCCTTTATTGACTATATATTCGATCTACAAGAAGTGCCTAATGAGAGACGCAATGTTAACAATGATTAATGATAACTATGTAATTCGTTAAAATTATATATATCTTACAATTATACAACACAATATTACAGTATCGAAATATAATGTGAGTTTGAAATGGCGATTAAACAAATGTGAAAAAAAATGATAATACATACTTAAAATTATGAATTTTATATACGTGAATTCATATGTATAATATCTCCTAATCCATGTAAATGCAATTCACAAGACATAAGATTCTAGAATATCTATTTAGAAGAATACATATTGTACAGCACTTGGTATCATTTATAATAAGGTACAATTTTATTTTTATAATGATTCAAGTGTTTAATTTCGTTCATAATCACGAGCCTCATTTACATGTAAAGGAAGCTCGTGTTTACATTCTAACAGTGCATATCGTTTTCTTACTTCAAAAGTGACACAACTCAACAAATGTAATTCCGAATTATTATTATGAATGAATTAAGTAAAATTTACCTATCAATTATAAAAAATAAACTTGCTTAATTTTATAAATTATCATCAAAATCATAACAACTGAAAAAAGTGATTAAAAAAAAATCGTAACTAAAAAAGTGATTTTTTTAAAGATTGTGAAATGAAAATGACATTTCATCATGTTAATGAACATATTCTTTCTGCCGATACATATTATTTGATTAGTCAATAATTTTCTATTAAGTAGAAAAATAGTTTTCTTCTTTTCT